GGGCCCAAAGGAGTCAGGATGGAAGGCGGTTGCGCTCCAAGGAGGCCTCGCCACTCCGAGATGACAGGCCTTTTATTGCATCACTTTGCATCAGGGAGACTCGTCGAGAGAGGGACTATTCAAGAGAAGGCAGGGTTCTAGAGCCAGAAGGGAAACCCAAGGGACATCCAGCCCAACCCCATTCTGCCAGGAAGGAAGGCAACCACCCAAGCCCTCCCGACAAAGGGCCATCCAAGAAGGCACCATCCAATACTCCCCGACAGATGGTCATGAAGACACTATCCAAGTCCTCCTGACAGATGGTCATCCATGAATACTCCAGACAGATAAAGACATCATCTAATACTTCCTGATAGATTAATACGCCATCTAAACCCTCCCAACAGATGGTCATCCATGACGATTTCATCTAAGTCCTCCCAACAGATCAAGACATCCAAGCCTTCTGGACAGATGGTCATCCATGAAGGCACCATGCAAATCCTCCTGGCAGTTAATCATCCATGAAGGCACCATCCAGGCACCATCTAATACTTTACGATACATTAATACACCATCTATGCTCTCTCAACAGACGTTCATCCATGAAGGCACCATCCAGGCACCATCTAATACTTTACGATATATTAATACACCATCTAAGCCCTCTCAACAGATGGTTATCCATGAAGATGACATTAAGCCCTCCCAATAGATGAAGATACCATCCAAGCCCTCCAGACAGATGGTCATCCATGAAGGCACCATGCAAACCCTCCTGGCAGATGATCATCCACGAAGGCACCATCCAGGCACCATCTAATACTTCATGATAGATTAATATACCATCTAAGCCCTCCCAACATATGGTCATCAATGAAGATGACATCTAAGCCCTCCCGACAGATGGTCATCTATGAAGGCACCATGCAAATCCTCCTGCAGATGGTAATCCACGAAGGCACCATCCAATGCTTCCTGACAGATGATGACACCATCTATGCCCTCCTGACAGATGGCCATCCATGAAGACACCATGCAAATTCTCCTGACAGACTGTCATCCACGAAGGCACTACTGAATACTTCCAGATAGATGAAGACAGCATCCAAGCCCTCCTGACAGATGGTCATCCATGAAGGCACCACGCAAATCCTCCTGCAGATGATAATCCGCGAAGGCACCATCCAATTCTCTGGACAGATGGTTATAAAGACACCATCCAATACTTCCTGAGAGATGGCCATCCATGAAGGCACCATTGACTACTTCCCAATAGATGAAGACACAATCTTAACCCTCTCCAACAGATGTTCATCCATGAAGATGACATCTAAGCCCTTCCGACAGATAGTCATCCATGAAGACGACATTGAAGCCCTCCCAACAGATGAAGACACCATCCAAGTTCTTCCAATAGATGGTCTTCCATGAAGATACCATCCAAGCCCTTCCAACAGATGGCCATCCATGAAGACATCGTGCAAGCCCTCCTGACAGATGGTCATCCATGAAGACACCATCCAATATTTCCCGACAGATGAAGACACCATCCGAATCCTCCCGACTGATGGTCTTCCATGAAGACACCATGCAAATCCTCCCAACAGATGGTCATCCACAAAGGTACCATTGAATACTTCCAGATAGATGAAGACACCATCTAAGCCCTCCCAACAGATGGTCATCTATGAAGGTACTGTCCAAGCCCTCCCAACAGACAGTCATCCATGAAGGCACCATGCAAATCTTCCAGACAGATGGTCATCTACGAAGACACCATCCAATCCTTCCTGAGAGATGAAGACACCATCCAAGCCCTCTTGACAGAGGGCCATTCACAAAGGCACCATGTAAGAAACCATGATAGATGGAAGGAAGGTGGAATGAAGGGAAGAAGATGGAAGGAAGAGAGACCAACAGATGAATAGATGGATGGAAGGAAGGGAAGGAAGGAAAGCCAATGGATGGTTTCCCCAGATCCATCCTCTACATGACGAATGCAAGGCCCGTCCTCCCGTTAATGCGTTCTCCTTGCTTTAATGCCTGATTTCTCTAAGTGAAAGCTGACGGAAGGGAGGTCTTCCATCTCCATTACGTCCCTCTCTTTTGCAATTGCAGACGTGACAAATTAATATTTTACGAAGCGTGTTTCTCGTTCCCTTTTCGGTGGAGCGATGGGGTTTTCCGAGGCCTTGACGTTGACGAACGTCCCGCCCAATCATTTTTGCTTAATGTCGGAGATGCTGTCTCCAAATAATGCATTAAAAAAATCCCTGCACAAATTAATGATATATTATCGTTTGCTGTGAAGGAAGATTATTCATTCCTCCGTCGGAGTGTTTCCTTCGTTCCTGTTTTCCCCCCCAATTAGATCCTGCAATACTTACAAGCGTCTTCTTGCTGGGCACATATCAGGGAACCTAACCCTAACCCGAAACTACAACTCCCACTATGGTGAGTCCGTCCCCTCAAACCCTTCCAGTAGGTTGAGTTAGTCATGGGGGTTCTGTGTCTCAAGTTTGGTCCAGGTCTATCATCAGTGGAGGGCACAATTTCTGTGATGGGGGGTGAACTACAACTCCCAGAAAGGAAAGTCAGTTCCCCCCAAACCCCTCCAGCAATCAAATTTGGGCATATTAGGTCTGTGTCTCAAGTTTGGTCCAGATCCATCAGTGTTTGGGTTCACAGTCCGCTCTGGATGTAGTTGAACTACAACTCCCCCAAATCAAGGTGAATTTCCCCCAAAGACCTCCAGTATTTTTTGCTGATCATAGGGGCTCTGTGTGCCACGTTTGGTCCAATTCCCTCTTTGGTGGATTTCTGACTGCTCATTGATTGCAGGTGAACTATAAATCCCAGGACCAACAACTCCAAAATGTTCAGGCCAATTCCCCTCCAAACCCATCAGTATTCAAATTTGTGAATATTGGTTATGCATGAGTTTGGTCCAGATCCACCATAGTTTGGGTACATAGTGTGTTCTGGATGTAGGTGAACTACAACTCCTATAATTCCCTCCAAAGACCTCCAGTAATTTTTGCTGTTCATGGGGGTTCTGTGTGCCAAGTTAGCTCCAGATCCATTGCAGGTGGAATTCAGACTGCTCTTAGACTGCAGGTGAACTATACATCCCAGGAAACTACAACTCCTCTAAATCATGGTGAATTCTCCTCAAACCTCTTTAGTATGCTCAGTTGCTAATCAATTCCTCTGCTGTGTGCCATAGAAAAGAATAGGAAAGGATTAAAGGAGAGGCAGTGGGCGGGGTCATGCAAATTCCACACCAATGGAGAGAGAAAGAAACACTGGGATGTATGTGGTGGAGGAAACACATAACATCTAAAATGGAATTGTCTCCGTATGGAAGCCTCCAGTTGGGTGGTGGGCAGTGTGGTGCTTGTGGAGGACATTGGCAGGGCTCTTGGACATGTTTACGGCACTCGCTATAACCCACAATGTCATTGGAGGGAGGGCCTTTGGTGTCCCCAGAGGAGTGGGAGCTAGAGCTGTTTGTGGAGGCGGAAGCTTGTCTGTGTAAGTGACAAGCCACATACACAGATACATATTTTCACTTTTATTATGTGTCTTGAAGATAGATGTGCCATCTGCAGAGGATATGCCTTAAGGACAAGAATACCCATGCAGTCCCAATGAAACCCCAGTGCAATCCCAATGCAATCTCAATACAATCTCAATGCGATCCCATTGTAATTCCAATGCAACCCCAGTACAATTCCAATGGAACCCCAATGCAATCCAAATAGAATCTCAACTAAGCACCCATGCAATTCCAATGCAATCTCAATGGGATCGCAATGAAACACCAATGTAATCCCAACGAAACCTCATTGCAAATCCCAATGCAATCTCCATACAATCCCAATGTAATCCCATTACAACCCCAATTATTCCCAATGCAACCCCAATACAATTCCAATGAAATCCAAATGCGATTCAAAAGGAATCTCAATGCAAATCCCAATGCAAATATTAACAAATCCCAATGTGATCCCAATGTAATCCCACTGCAACCTCAAAACAATCCCAATGTAATCCCAATGCAACCCCAATACAATTCCAATGAAACCCCAATGCAATCCAAATGGAATCTCAATYCAATCCCYATKRAATTCCAATGCAATCCAAATGGAATCTCAATGCAATCCCAATYRAATTCCAATGKAACCCCAATYCAATRCWAATGYAARCRCAATYCAATRCKAATYVAATRRCAATGCAAARCCKAATYSAATCTCAATYCAATCCCAATGTAATTCCAATGCAACCCCAATACAATCCCAATGCAATCCCAATACAKTTCTAATGAAACCRCAATGCAATTCAAATYGAATCTCAATGCAAATCCCAATACAATCTCAATGCAATCCCAATGTAATTCCAATGCAACCCCAATACAATCCCAATGCAATCCCAATACACTTCRAATGAAACCTCAATGCAATTCAAKTYGAATCTCAATGCAAATCCCAATACAATCRCAATYCAATCCCAATGCAACCCCAATACAATTCCAATGAAACCCCAATGCAATTCAAATGGAATCTCAATGCAAATCCCAATACAATCTCAATGRAATCCCAATGTAATTCCAATGCAACSCCAATACAATCCCAATGCAARCCSAATACAATCCKAATGGAATCTTAAAGCAAATCCCAATACAATCTCAATGCAATCCKAATGMAATRRCAATGCAACCCCAATACAATCCCAATGCAATCCCAATACAATTCCAATGAAACCRCAATGCAATCCAAATGGAATCTCAATGCAYATCCCAATYRAATCCCAATGCAACCCCAACACAATCCCAGTGCAACCACAATGAAACCCTGGRGCAAACTCAATGTCATCCCAATGCYATCCCAATGCAATCCCAATGTTAATTCCAATGCAATCTCATGGAACCTCGGTGCACTTCSTAAAGTCATCTCAATGTTATCCCAATGCACCCCAATCCAATCTCCATGCGATCCCAATGTGATCCAAAGTCCTACCATTGAGCTTCATGGGTTTGTCCCGGCATTACGAGGCCACCTTTTATGTGCCGAAAGCTTGGAATAGTTTATTGTTGACATTGGGATTTTCTTATGTGCTTCCTCTTTCTCCAGATGCTGATCCAACCTGAAAATACACAACGTGGACACGTCAGCGAGGCCTACAGAGGATTGGCAAAGTTACTTTTTCCTACTCAGAACTTTTCTAGGCTCTGATGACAACATCATCATGGAGCGGTTGCCGCTTGTTGCAAACTTATCGTTTTTCTGATTATGGGGTAAATAAATGCTTTTCCCAAAAAGCCCCGCCTCCTTCATTAATCACCGGATAGAAGTGGAAATAATTGGGGATGATTAGAGCAATTACAGCGCCATCGTCGGCAGCTGCACGAAACCCCATTAATCTTGATTCCGGAGCCTGCCTCCTTCCAGGCCAACCAGGCTAATTGGGATTATCTATTGGGAAAGGCGAGTCGCTTGCAGGGGGATCTGTAAAGACATATGGGGTGTTGTTCGGATTATGGAAATCCAATAGAGGAATTGGTCCATGATGAATGCAAAATTCACCTGAAAATAAAGCCTTCGCTATAGTTTTGGGTAAAATGGAGAAAGAGGAAGGTGTTGTATGTCAGCCTGTGATTGTGTCTGAGGTTCATGATGGGATTGGGGATGATGTTCCTGATGGTGGGCCTGAGTCTGTTGGCATTGGGGATGAGGGTTAGCTTGGGCCTGAGTTAAGCTCAGACAAGAGGCCTGAGCTGTCTCAGGAAGATTCACAAGGCCACATTCATGGGAGGGGCCTTCACAGCTTTTATCAGACCAACTGTCTGAAGATGATGTGTCCGGAGCAGAAGTTAATGAGAGAGAAGATAATGAAAGCTTACACAGAAAGCGAAGTTTTAGTAAAGCTCAGACGAGAGGCCTGAGCTGTTTCAGGAAGATTCACAAAGCCACATTCCTGGGAGGGGCCCTTCAGAGCAACTGTTTGAAAATGATGTGTCAGGAGCAGAAGTTAATGAGAGAGAAGGTAATGAAAGCTTACACAGAAAGCAAAGTTTTAGTACTCAGACGAGAGGCCTGAGCTGTTTCAGGAAGATTCACAAGGCCACATTCCTGGGAGGGGCCCTTCACAGGTTTTCTCAGAGCAACTGTCTGAAGATGTTGTGTCCGGAGCAGAAGTTAATGAGAGAGAAGATAATGAAAGCTTACACTGAAAATAAAGTTTTAGCAAAGCTCAGACGAGAGGCCCAAGCTGTCTCAGGAAGATTCACAAGGCCACAATCCTGGGAGGGGCGCTTCACAGCTTTTCTCAGAGCAACTGTCTGAAGATGATGTGTCAGGAGCAGAAGTTAATGAGAGAGAAGATAATGAAAGCTTAGACAGAAAGCAAAGTTGTAGAGACAAAATCTTCAGACAATGAGACGATCAGTTTGTCTACAGCAGTGTTTCTCAACCTTCCCAATGCCACAACCCCTTAATACAGTTCATGTCGGGTGACCCCCAACCATCAAATTATTTTCATTGACAAAATCAATCCCCCCACCCCAACAGTATTCAAATTTGTGCATATTGTAGTTGCTGGGATTTATAGTGCACAAATGGATGGATGGTATCCTTGAAGTGACTGGCTTGACCTTGAAGGAGCTGGGGGTGGTGACGGCCGACTGGGAGCTCTGGCATGGGCTAGTCCATGAGGTCACAAAGAGTTGGAAGCAACTGAACGAATGAACAAAAACAATCAAAGAGCATTCTGAATCCCACCAACGATAGAATTGGGCCAAACTTCCCACACAGAGCCCTCATGCCTTGAAGGGACTCGCTCGTGCAAGCCTCCCTCCAGCCTTGCACGCTCTCCCTCCACCGCACATGTGCACCACACTGCCATGTGCTGAGCACGCCTGCTCTCCCCTCCCCACTTTGAGTCTCAGAAAGAGTCCTCCCTTTGGCTGAGAGGCCGGCTAAACACAGCGGAGGAGGGCTTTTGGTGAGAGGATTTGCTGTCAGTTTCCAAAAAGAGGAGGGATTAGAGGAGTAAAGACATGACTTGGTTGGGTCAACGCAATATTATAGAGTATGATGGACCTCTCCAGAGTCCCTCTTAGGGTCAAATCCAACCTTATGGGGACAAATCCATCCCTCTTAGGATCATATCTGTTCTTCTTCGGGTCAAATCCAGCCCCTCTTGGGGCCAAATCCAGTCTGGAGCCATGGAAAGTTGCTTTTACTCCTCTGAGGATCTCTCAGCATAGGATCTGGGGATAAACCATCCGCCCCGGATGCTTTCCCAGGCTTTAATCCAACTCTTACATAAGGATTATTTAATGTATGGGGAAAATATGCCTTGTGCAAAGGTCTAACCAGGACAATCAGAGTCGCAAACTGGGCCAGCAATGGAGGCAGACCAGCGGCTGCTGAAGCTTGGAAGCTCCAAACTGGATGTCAGCCAGTGGCTCCATAGGAGACAGGTTTTTGGAGCCAAGAGCCAGCAAACGGAGCCAGAAACTGGGTCAAAGGAGCGAGTCGCGGTTAAAAAGTGCAGCGTTTCACAAAAGGGGACTAGAATGAAAAACACACAAAAAATATATAACAGAAGGTAGTTACATAGATGGACAGAGAGAAGAAGTCAAGAGAACGGGGCTGCTGCAGCTTTGTAAGAGCTGAGAAAAATGGAGAGACCCAACTGAGTAAGCCATGGCTTTGCAAAACCTTAGAAGACGGATGGACTCCATCACAAGATCTGAGAAGATGGAGAGAATCAACCAATGAAGTCATGGTTTTGAAGGACCCAAGAAAGATGGAGAGACTCAACCAAGGAAGCCATGGCTTTGCAAGATGATAAAGGAAACCATGGCTTTAAAAGACCTGTGAAACTGGATAGACTCTGTGAAGGAACTGGAAGATCTGAGAAGATGGAGAGACTCCATCAACAAGTAGCTAGACTCCGTGAAGGAATTACAAGATCTGAGAAGATGGAGAGACTCCATCAACAAGTAGAAAGACTCAGTGAAGGAATTGCTAGATCTGAGAAGATGGGTCGACCCAACCAAGGAGGCCATGTTTTTGCAAAACCCGGGAAGGTGAATAGACACAACCAAGGAAGCCATGCCTTTGAAAGAACTTAGAAGATAGATAGACATAACCAAGGAAGTCATGGCTTTGGAAGATGGATAGACTCAACCAAGGATGCATAGTTTTCTAAGAACTGAGAAGGTGGATGGACTCCATTAAGGAATTGCAAGATCTGAGAAGGTGGATAGACTCATCCAAGGAAGCCATAGTTTTGAAAGACCATCAAGACCTGAAAAGATGGAGAGACTAATCCAAGGAAACCATGGCTTTTCAAGATTTGAGAAGGTGGATGAACCCCATTATGGAATTACAAGAGTCAACCAAGGAAGCCATGTCTTTGCAAGAACTTAGAAGATGTATAGATGCAACCAAGGAAGCCATGGCTCTGAAAGAACTTAGAAGATGGATAGATGCAACCAAGGAAATCATGGCTCTGAAAGAACTGAGAAGATACATAGATGGCACCAAGGTAGCCATGGCTTGAAAGAACTTAGAAGATGCATAGATGCCACCAAGGTAGCCATGGCTTGAAAGAACTTAGAAGATGCATAGATGCAAGCAAGGAAGCCATGGCTCTGAAAGAACTGAGAAGGTGCATAGATACCACCAAGGTAGCAATGGCTTTGAAAGAACTTAGAAGATGCATGGATGCAAGCAAGGAAGCCATGGCTCTGAAAGAACTGAGAAGATACATAGATGCCACCAAGGTAACCATCGCTTTGAAAGAACTTAGAAGATGCAGAGATGCAACCAAGGAAGCCATGGCTCTGAAAAAACTGAGAAGATGTATAGATGCCACCGAGGTAAGCCATGGCTTTGAAAGAACTTAGAAGATGCATAGATGCAAGGAAGCCAAGGATTTAAAAGACCTGAGAAGGTGGAGAGACGCAACCAAAGAAGCCAGAACTTCGAAAGACTTACTTCAGGAGATGGACAAATGCAGTCCAAGAGGTCACAACTTTGGAAGACATGAGTAGGATGGTCGAGGACATATAGACCTGTTCAAGGCATTGCGTTGCTATAAAGCGAAGGTTGATCAGCAAAGGAGACATCCGTGCTCGTCCCTCCTTAAGTATAGTTTCATGAGTGCACATCACCAGCAAATTCCTGGTGTTTGACATACATTGGGGGATTCATTGCATTCTTACCCTTCAACCTCCATAGGTCACAGGCACCCCATTGGCCTTTCTATAAGGCGAATGTTGAAGAGCCATTTCCCTGCCAAGTCCATCCATCTCCTTGGGCTTCAATCCCTCTGCTTCCCTCCTCCTCTTCCCTTGGTGATTGGTGGAGGGTCCCAAGGTCCTCCTGGTAGCCCTGAGGTCACAATGGTCCACCAAACAGCTCTGGCCCCAAAGGCCCTGGAGACCCCTGGCCAGGCCTGAGCCCATACTGGCCTTCCAGGAGGCATCTCCAGCACTGAGCTTAATCGAGATGTTGGTAAGCATCCCTTTCTCCTTCCCTCCCTTGTCTCTCTATCCCCTTCTTTTGTTCTCCAGAAGGTCTGGTCCCATCCATGGGAGTTGGAAGGGGCTCTCAAGGGCCCATTCAGTCCAACCCTATTCTGCAATGGTGACAGATGGCCACCCGTCCTTTGTTTAAAGTCCTCCAGAGTAGGAAGACTCCAAATCTTAGAGTCGGAAAGGGGTACTCAAAGGCCATCCGGTCCACCCCCCTTCTGCCAAATAAACAATAGACGATCCAGACCTTCCTGAAAGATTTCCCTTCAAAGATCAGATTTCACAGCAAGGAGGTGTTCTTGGAAGTGCCTTTCTCTGAAATGCAGTGGATGGCATCTAGGATTCATCGATGGTCTCCCATGCAAGTCCAAACTTGCAAGTTCCAAGAGCAGGCAGAATCTGGGATATTATAGGCCCCTAATAAGGCGGCGGCCATCTTTTCCTCCGAGGATTAAGAGATCGAGTTCATCTCATTTGTTTCCCATTAATGCGCATTTCCAAGTCTCCTGCAGATTTGTGGTCAACTCACAAATTGCACAAGGTTTTGGAAAGGGGTCCTCAGAGTTGGTTTTGCTAGGTCCTTCTCCTGTAGAGCTTG